ATAACATCAACAACAATTTACAACATTATGGAATTATTTCACATGGTATTGAGTAACCAATATGTTACAAAATGCAAGTTCTTAACCACATCCTGTGACTACTTCATTGACATTTCAATTTTAGTTTACATACAACCGGCTTCTATACACCTTAAAATGGCTATAAGGTACTAATCAGCTGTCTTGTGTCTATTTTCATTTTAGTATTTAGCACTGTATAGTGTTGAAGCATGATTTTGCTAAACTTCGCAGATTTTCGGATAGTCTAAACTGGCTTATAACTTTAACAAGGCATATGTCAACAGTTGAGAGGGCACCGGTTCTAATCCGGCAACTCCACTTCCCATCCAGCTCCTTATTGTAGCCTGGGAAAGCAGTCGAGGACAGCCCAAAGCCTTGAGACCCTGTACCTATGTGGGAGACCTGGAGGAAGTTCCTGGCTCCTGGCTTCAGATCGGCATAGCTCCAGTTGTTGCGATCATTTCAAGAGTGAGTCAACGGACAGAAGATCTTCCTCTCTGTCTCTCCTCCTCTCTGTATCTGACTTCCAATAAAAATAAGTAAATCTTTAAAAAATAATAAAAATTGGGGCCCGGCGCGGTGGCGCAAGTGGTTAAGGTCCTCACCTAGCACGCCCGGGATCCCATATGGGCGCCGGTTCTAATCCCGGCAGCCCCACTTCCCTTCCAGCTCCCTGCCTGTGGCCTGGGAAAGCAGTCGAGGATGGCCCAAAGCTTTGGGAACCTGCACCCGCGTGGGAGACCCAGAAGAGGCTCCTGGCTTCGGATCGGCATAGTATCGGCCCGTTGCGCTCACTTGGGGAGTGAATCATCGGACGGAAGATCTTCCTCTCTGTCTCTCCTCTCTGTATATCTGCCTTTCCAATGAAAAAATAATAAAAATAAATCTTTAAAAAAAATAATAAAAATTAAAATGGTAGTAAAAAGGGTCACTTATTTATTTTAACATTCAAGTTATATAAAGAAAAGGAGAGAGAGAGATCTTTCATCCACTGGTTCATTTTTCTGGATGACAGTAACAGAAAGGAGTGGGCCAAGCCAGGAGTTTCACCTGAGTCTTGCACATAGGTGGCAGGGGCTAAAACATCTGAGCTCTTTTGTTCCTTTCCTAGGCCATTAGCAGGTAGTCAAATTGGAAGTGGAGTAGATGGGATCCAAAGCCATAAGGAGCCCTCAACCACCACAATAGCCTAGTGGCCAAATCCTCCCCTTGCATTCACCAGGATCCCATATGGATGCTAGTTCATATCCCAGATGTTCCACTTCCCTTCCAGCTCCCTGCTTGTGGCCCGGGAGGCAAGCAGAAGATAGCCCAAAATCTGGGACCCTGCCCCATCTGGGAGACCTAAGAGAAGCTTCTAGCTCCTGGCTTCAAATCAGCTCAGCTCTGACCGCTGCAGCCAGCTGGGGAGTTAACCAATGGATGAAACATCTCTCTGTGTGTCTCCTTCTCTGTATATCTGCCTTTCCAATAAAAAAATAACAAAAATTTAAAATAATAATAAATAAAATAATAAACCATAATGAATGCTGGTATTATAGGGCAAGAGGAGGGTGACTTTACTTGCTATGCCACAACACAGCTTCAATGATGGTAAAGGAAACAAAAAAACGAGGGGAGCATTTGCATTAGGCTTAGTGTCCAGAAAGCCAAGACTCATATTGGAATACCTGAGTTCAACACCTGGTCTTTGATTTTGATTGAGTTTCCTATTAATGTTGCCAAGAGGCAACACTAATGGCTCAAATAGAATCCATGACACCCATTTGGAAGATTGGATTGCGCCTGCAGCTCTCAGCTTAAATCTGGCCCAACCACAGCCATCACAAGCATTTGTGCAAAGGAATTCTCTGTGTCATTCTCAAATTTAAAGAAGGGGGTGGGAAAAGGAAATGTACAAAAAAAGAATATTATTCCTGGGAAGAAATTGGCTCTTAAAAATAAATTTATAAAGAAATTTCTGAAAGGATGTGACCTCCAAGAAGTAATAGAAATAATCAGGGGTCCGGTGTGGTGGTCTAGTGACTAAAGTCCTCTCCTTGCACGCCCGGGATCCCATATGGGCACCAGTTCTAATTCCGGCAGTACCACTTCCCATCCAGCTCCCTGCTTGTGGCCCGGGAAAGCAGTCAAGGACGGCCCAAAGCCTTGGGACCCTGCACCCGTGTGGGAGACCTGGAAGAGGCTCCTGGCTTCGGACTGGCATAGCATCTGCCGTTGCGCTCACTTGGGGAGTGAATCATCGGAAGGAAGATCTTCCTCTCTGTCTCTCCTCCTCTCTGTATATCTGACTTTGTAATAAAAAATAAATATTTTAAAAAATAGAAATAATCATAGCAAGGATATTTTCACTGAAACTAAAATAGGATCATGAAGTAAACAGCAAAATACAAGACCTAGAAGACAAAAAGAAGAAAATCTTCTAAAAATGAAATCAAAAGATAAAAATATGTTTAAAGAATCATCCAAGACTATCTAATGTCTGACAGATTTTCCGGAAGAAGACAAGATGGAGAAACGAGGCAAGAAACTACTCAGTAAATGTGAGAATAAATTATTCAGCAGCTGAAAAAGTACAATTCAGAGTGTAAGGTGCAACTAAATGTCCAGCCCTATAAATAAGGAAAGAGTTACCGTAAGTCATAGGATGACACTAGAGGACACGAAGAATGAACTTAGAATTCCTAGGAAGTTGAGGATAAAGGCAGGCACGTAAGGATTGGGAGTAAGAATGGGTATCATCAAACCTATAGACACCTTTCTTAGGTGGTGATGAAGCAATACCTTTCCATTTGTGCAGGAAATTTGCTTACACCCTAAAATTCTCCGGTCTGTCAGTAACCATTAACCAGGAAGGTACATATGCACACTTCTTACCCTACTGAAGGGTAGTAACCTAATAATAATAATAAAAAAAAAGAGAGAATATGGCAACTGGAAAACAGAATGTCACATATAAACTGTCCCCTCACCTACAGCTTTGCTTCCCATGGTTTCAGTTACTTGCAGGCAAACACAGTCCAAAAGTACGAACTCAAAAATTCCAGAAATAAGCAATTCAAAAGTTTTAAATTGCATGTTGTTTTTTAAGGGTTATCTGAACAGAAGCACCATGACAAGATGGCAGTCAATCTGATACCCAAAATGACTACCGTGTGGCTAACAGGTGTGGCAACATATAGAATGTGGACAAGCTAAACCTAAGAGATAATTCACATCCCAGGCAGGGCTAAGCTATATTTAACTGCATGACTCAAAATAGCTTCCTGTAGATCAATGGCAGAGATCAATAGTGGTCCAAAGTTGCTTCACAGCACTTACACTTCCTCTCATCATGTATGCATATGTATAAACTGATAGCATCACAAGAAGAAAGAAGACTTGAGTGCAGTAAGATTTCTTGAGATAGAAAATCCAAGCCACATGACTTTTCCTACAATATTATTATTTTGATCGCTCTTTTTTATGTTTATGTTGTACTGTTTGTCCCTTGTTGTGCCTAATTATGAATTAAGTTTCATCATAGGTATGTGTTTATAAAAAAAGGCAAAAAGCTACTGGTTCCTGGATTCATACCCCCAGCTCAGGCCTTTGTGGCCATTTGGAGAGCAAACCAGCAAACAGAAGATCTCTGTGTGTCTGCCTCTTTTGGTCACTCTGCCTTTTAAATAAAAATAGAAATAGAGGCATCAGCACCCTCATGCAGTCAGCTAAGCATCCATCTGAGGTGCTGGCAATGCAATGTGGATGCTGGTTCATGTTCAGGCTGCTCTACTTCGGATCTAGCTCCCTGCTAGTGGTCTGGGAGGGCAGCAAAGAATGCTTCAAATCCTTGGGCCCCTGTATTCTTGTGGGAAACCTGGAGGAAACTCCTGGCTTCAGATCAGCTAAGCTCCATCTGTGGCAGCTATTTGAGAAGCAACCCAGTTGATGAAGAATCTCTTTGTAACTGCCTTTCAAATAAAAATAAATTAATCTTAAACCAAATGAACTAGCCAAATAAATAAAATATAGCTTATTTTGCTGCAAGAGGATCTTGAAGTCCACATGTTTTACTGTACTACATATTTCCCATGGATGTTTTGAAGTAACATAATCTATATAGGGTTCAGTACTCCTGACAGTTTCAAGCATCTGCTGTGGGTGAGAGGGTGGGTGGGGGGGACTATGTATAGAGACTTCAGATGTTGGATGATCATCTAGGCAATAGCCAGTGTGGACAGGAGTAGAAAGAGCAGAGACAACTGGCTGATTATCTGATACACTGAGTACAGCGTTGATAAACACCTGAAAAATCCAATGAAATACTTACAGCGATAGAAAATCAGTAAGATGGAAACATAGGCAATTCTCAATGCCAAAGGAAACAAAAAGTGGTATCATACAAAGAAGGGCAAGTAGCCAAAATACACTGCTTGGTTTATTAGCGACCATCACGTACATAATAGTAACACTAAATATTTAGTTACGTAGAAATCAGGTTAAAATTATTTTAGGATGATAGGAAATGGAAGTATTATGTAAGGAACTAACATACAATGTCTAAAATTTATAAATGAAAGAATAGAAGTCCAGTAGTAAGCAATTTATATTGGGAAAACTGCCAACAAAAGATTTAAAAATATCTGCAAAGCTCACATCAGGGAGGAAGAAGGAACTGATTTCTTGTGAGCAGAATTTTTTTAAAATCTATTTTATTTATTATTTTATTTATTTGAAAGGCAGAGTTCAAGGTCAAGAGAGGGAAAGACATAGAGAAAGGTTTTCTATCCACGTTCACTTCCTAAATGGCCATAATGGCTGGGGTTGGGCCAGGACAAAGTCAGGAGCCTCTTCTGGGTCTCCCACATGAGTGCAGAGGCTCAAGGCCTTGGGCATCCTCTACTGCTTTCATAGGGAATAGGATTAAAAGTGGAGCAACCAGGACTCTTTTAGGGTGAAGCTGGCATTGCCAGTGACAGCTTTACATGCTATGCAACATCGCTTCTCGGCCTTTTGGCTAAGATCAAGTGTACATGCTATGCCACAATACTGGTCCTTTAGTGGTACTATTTAGTATTATGTGTAACTTTGTATTACTTGATTTAAAAAATTTGCAATGCCCTCAAAAGAACCATGAGAATAAATCCAGGGGTTATTCATATGTTAGTTTATATCATGTGTCAATGCCAACATTCCACTTAATGTCAGTTCTCTTTAGGGACAGAACATTTGCTGAACTTGGGAAGATGTTATTGTTTCCATGTGCAGGATCCTGCAGTGGTCAGTATCTGACACTCCAAAGAGTTAAAAAAGAAAAGCATTCTCTCCTATTGCCTGTATGTGGTAAATGAATATCTCAAGCATGAAAATGATTTAAAAATATTTGTTTTCCAATATTCATGTGTTTTCTCTTATTTACTGTAGCACAACTGCCTGGCATTTGACAACCAGTCAATGGCCTCCCTTGCTCTGCTCTACCTTGACCTGGTTCTCACTTTATCCCCACGAAGGTCGTGAGGATTCTGTCATCCAGGGTCTTCCCTGTTGTGACTCTTCATTTGACTAATTTCAATATTTTACTTAATAAATTACCAAATACTCAGCATTCAACAAATATGAATATTGTATATATTCTTCTAAAAACAAATAGCAGTGAATGCATTTATAATTCAGAATCCATTCACCCAGAGTGATTACACTTGCAATGTCTCTAATAAAAAGCATTTTTGGGGGTAGACAGAAAAGCCTGTCCGAGCCTATGTGACAGTAAACAGCTGTACTGGAATTGAGTCAATCAAATTCAGGTTCATAATTCACTTCTTTACATGGCATTTTCTCTTCAAAACGTTTCTGACAGGAGCCCGGCATGGTCGCCGAGTGGCTAAAGTCCTCACCTCGAACGCAGCAGGATTCCATATGGGAGCAGGTTCATACCCTGGCAGCCCTGCTTCCAATCCAGATCCCCGCTTGTGGCTGGGAAGGCACTGAGGGTAACCCAAAGCCTTGGGACCATGCCCCCACGTGGGACACCCAGAAGTTCCTGGCTCCTGCGAACCCAAATACATGGGGAAAAGGGAGAACATGCTGCAAAGCTCTTCTGCTTTAACTAGTTAGGTTATGCAATTTTCACTTAAATTTTCAATAAAATGAATGTTTCAGTATAAGGAAGGCTCTGGTGAGTTATTTGTCATCCAGAGTTCCTCTATTTTTTTTTAATACAGGAATCAACAGATAATATAGTAGAAAGGTAGCCACCAAAATGCATTTATGCAATATGCTAAACTATTTTTTTAATAAAAAGAATCTGGACTGAGATAGGTGAAAAAAACACTACCAAGGAAAAATAAGAAAAAACTTGAAATCAGAACTCTTTTCATAAGAGATGTAGAATGTGTCCTCATTAAGATATATTTCATTTGAAATATAAACACATGATTCAATCAAATACCATGAAGTTCCATTCTACACTATGTTATTTATCCACTCAGGATGGAGCTGCCCCTTTTCATCTTCTCAGCAAAGTCTTCTTTTCCTTTTCCTTTTTTTTTTTTAAGAGAATGCTATATAGGCAATTCTAATTCTGCAAAATTTTGTAAGTATGCACCTTTGGTGAGGGATTCAATCAAAACTAAGTGGTCTATTCATGTTGACAAACCCATGGAAAGAGTGTAGGATTTTATTTGTATTATATCCTTGACAATACACAAAGATGTCAGAAGTGTAATCCAGGGCACCAAGTCAAGAATGATGATGTCTTCTTGGCTGCCTATCAGAGCCACAGACATTTCCAAGACGTCTTTCCTGGCAGGCAGCCTGATCTTAACTCCCCCAGGGCTTTGCCTGTGTTTTCCTCACTAATTCTCTTCAAAGCACAACCTTTGTGTTCAAGCTGGTTTTTCCCTGCTCCCAAAAGAAGCTTCCTACATGAATATTTTTTTTCTATTCAACCACATTAATATAGAAAGTGTATACATTCTGCAGTCATAGGAATCTGGATTAAGCCAGATAATAAACTTAACTTTTCTGAGCTTCAATTCCCATGGTTAGAGAGACAGATTGTAAATTATTGTAAATTATTGTAAATTTTTATTTTTAAAAATTTACTTTTCATTACATGGTCAGCAGTGTGGCCTAGTGGCTAAAGTCCTCTCCTTGAACGCGCCAGGGTCCCATATGGGCGCTGGTTCTAATCCCAGCAGCTCCACTTTCCATCCAGCTCCCTGCTTGTGGCCTGGGAAAGCAGTCAAGGACGGCCCAAAGTCTTGGGACCCTGCACCCGTGTGGGAGACCTGGAAGAGGTTCCTGGCTCCTGGCTTCGGATCGGCGCAGCACCAGCTGTTGCGGTCACTTGGGGAGTGAATCATCAGATGCAAGACTCCATCTCCATCTCTCCTCTTCCCTGTATATCTGAATTTGTAATAAAAAAAAAATCTTAAAAAAATAAAATAAAAATTTACTTTTCATTAATATTCCAGAGAAAGAGAGTCAGAAATATTTCTCTAAATGTCTGCCATTGCCAGTGTGGACAGGCAGAAGCCAGGAGCCTGGAGTTCAGTCTAGTCTCCATGGTGGGGTGGCAGAGACTCAAGTACTTTCCCACCGCTGCTGCGTACTTCCTTCTCTCTGTGTCACTCTTTCAAATAGATAAAATACATCTGTAAGGGTTTTTTTTTTAAAAGATTTATCTATTTTTATTGGAAAGCCAGATATACAGAGAGGAGGAGAGACAGAGAGGAAGATATTCCATCCGATGATTCACTCCCCAAGTGAGCGCAACGGCCAGTGCTGTGCCAATCCGAAGCCAGGAGCCAGGAACTTCCTCCTCCAGGTCTCCCACGTGGGTGCAGGGACCCAAGGCTTTGGGCTGTCCTCAACTGCTTTCCCAGGCCACAAGCAGGGAGCTGGATGGGAAGTGGAGCTGCCAAGGTTAGAACTGGCACCCATATGGGATCCCGGGCATGCAAGGCAAGGACTTTAGCCTTTAGGCCATGGTGCTGGACCGGTTGGGTTTTTTCTTTTGTTTTGTTTTTTGTGTTTTTTTTTTTTTTTTCATTTTTTACCTTAAAAGTGGAGAGATCTTCAAAGACATTCATTCCCTCAAATGCCTACAAAAACCAGAACTGCACCAGCTGATGCCAGGAACCTGGAACTCCAGGGCTGCCAAGTAGATGACAAGGACTCAAGTGTGTTAGCCATCATTGCTGCCTCTCTGGTACTGCAAAAACGGGAGGCATCAGAAGTGAAGAGTCCAGGACTTAAACCAGGTACTAAGATACAGAAAGTGAACCAAGTAGCAAATATCTGTCCCATGATTAGGATTTCTATATCAACTCTATCTACCCAGAAAGTCTGCTGATACTAAGTTTCATGGCAGGAAACTGCTTTCTTCCTTGATATTTTAATAAAGGATTGAGTCCACTATACCTATTGTATGAGTTGACCAAATTTATCCCCCAAAATGAGTCGGAGGCAGACTCTCGGTTCTGTAGTCTTTATTCACCGGCTGGTGCTGACTGGTGGATTGTCCCTTTCTATCACACATGAAAGAGGGGAGCCCTGGCCAGTCATGTTCAAGGTTCATGTTGTTTTTCAATATTTGGTTTTATTGGAAAGGCAGATATACACAGAAGAGAGAGGGGGGAAGATCTTCTGTCAGCTGATTTTCTCCCCAAATGTTGGCAATGGCTGGAGCTAAGCTGATCCAGAACTAGGAGCCAGGATCTCTTCTGGGTCTCACACATGCGTACAGGATCCCAAAGCTTTGGGCCATCTTCAACTGCTTTCCCAGGCCACAAGTTGTAGTGAGGTAGGTGGCTAATTCAGGGTCACGGGCTTGGAAGTCACTCCCCCACCACCTAGATGTTCCTCCAGCCCACCTATGAGTCTCACATATCACCTGACAGGTGGCGGTATTGCATTGTCATGTAACCACTCCCATCATAAGCTCCTATAAGGGCTCATGATAGGGAGGGGCTTGCTCTATTGGTCCTGTGCTTCTGTGTTCTTGGCCTCTTCAGTACCGCTGAGGACAGGTAGCCCCTGAGCATGGCCCCTGTGTGTCTGTTTCCCCCAGAAACCTAGTACACCTCTGTTTACTGCTTGGGTGGGACAATGAAGATAGCAATGCTAAGATGCTTTGTATTTCCAATTTGTGTACTATCAGGAGTTCTAGGAGAGGTGGAGCCTAGCAGTAGTGGAATGTGGGCAGAGAAGCCAGGGAAAGGTGTATGCAGCTTTGTGTCCAGGTTATTCGTTGCATGTTTCTGGGGATAACTTACATTGTTGGAGAAGCTGGGACATGGACTTTAGGATAATGACCATTTGTTTCTCTTAGGCTTACAATTGATTGGATTGCCATATGGACTTGAGATTTGCTATTTCTAGTGGGCCCTGTTATCACCACGCTTGGTTAATAAATATGTCTGACATGTCTGGCGTGATCTTGCTCCCACCCCGCAACAAAGTAGGGAGCTGGATGGGAAGTGGAGCCACTGGGACACGAGCCTGTGCCCATATGGGATCCTGGTGCATGTAAGGTGATGATTTCAGCCACCAGGTCACCATGCTGGGCCCATTTCAGGGGCCTTTAACAATCATCCAATCAATCAAGAAAACCTAGGTAAATGGTAGGAATCATTCAATCAACTACAATGGTGCAGAACACAGATACCCAATCCGTGTAAACATCATGCACCCCAGCCCGGTACAGTAGCCTAGCAGCTAAAGTTCTTGCCTGGTACGTGTCGGGATCCCATATGGGTACAGATTCTAATCCCGGCAGCCTTACTTCCTATCCAGCTCCCTGCTTAAAGACTGGGAAAACAGTCGAGGACAGCCCAAAGCCTTGGGACCCTGAATCCATGTGGGAGATCTGGAGGAGGTTCCTGGCTTCGGATTGGCTCAGCTCTGGTCACTGCAGCCACAAATAATTATTTTTTTAAAAAAATAAACATTGTGGGAGTTAAGTAGCTCAGGTGACAACAGCCCTTCACAGTGGTGGTGACCCTCTTAAGGAGCGTACCGGGGCCAGGTCAGATCCAATGCCTGGGACTGGGCCCGTGGGCACCATCACCACATGGTGACTGAGTCTTAGGCTTTGGGTGGCCAGTGTGCCCTTGGGATCCAGACTCTGCCTGCTGGCCAGCCAGCAACAAGCTCTAGGGCTTTTACGGTATATAATTGCTGCCTAGGGACA